AGCTTGGAAGCTTGATTTATGGCCCTCTCCTCCTCAGTTTCAGGTGATGGTTTATCACCCTGTGAGTTTGAGGGTCCTGCCTTTGAGTTTTCTCCACCACTAGTGCCCAATTTAGTTCCTTTTCTCTTCACAACCTGCCATTCCTCCTTGGCATTCTCTTTGTGATTAGCAGCTGTCCTCTCCCAAGTGTTCTTTCCTGTCACTTTTTTGTTCAATGAAACCTTACATTCGCTCAGGGAGTGACCTGTTTTCTTGCACTTGGAGCAAAATGCCTTAAGATCTTCATAAATAACCTCCTGGAATACATGCCTGTCTCCATCCAGAATGTGGATCTTTCTTGGATTCTCTTTGGACAGATCAAGTTCTACACAAACCCGAGCCAGTGAGGGCCTATTGAAGGCAGTTGTTGCAGTGTCTATGGTCATAGGCATACCTATCATTTTTGCAATTGAGAACAGAGCTGATTTATGATGCAAATGGATTGGCAAACCAGGGAGTGAAATCCAGGTTGGCACAATAGGGGGGAGATTAGATGGATCAAAATCATGAGTCCATTTAAAGATCTTCATCACAAAACCCTTTATATTCCAATACCTTCTCATGAAAAGTCGATTATAATCCCTTTCTTTGGCAAAGTTAATGAGCACGCATCTTTCATCAAGGAATCCCACCTGAAATTGATCTTCGAATCCAATTGATTCCAGGGTAGCTTTAACTGTGAGGAAAGATGGTCTTCCATCATTGAATACTCCCACAAGCGCGAATTGAAACTTGGAGGATAGGAGGTCAACCTCTTCCTGCGTGAATATGATTGAGGGCAATCCCTTAAATCTAGTTATCTGCTTCGATTGAATCACTGGAGATTGAGATTGTTGCAGCGGAGCGTGGGTTGAGGAAGAATTCTTGACGGCGGCAGCGTAGGAGGTGGATCCGCCGATGGATCCGCCGGAAACCACCTCTCCGGTTGGAGACGGAAGCATCGAGAAAGTTTTATATATATATATATATGTAAATATATATATATATATGTATGTATGTATGTATGTATGTATCTGTATGTATACACACGCACAATATATGTTTTTCTTTTTTGTACTCCCTCCGTTCTTTAAGACCCTTAGCTTCTTCTTTCATTTTTTTTCAATTCCCTAAAACACTTCCTTTTTCTATTAAAAAACCACTTTTACCCCTATTTTTTCATACCTTACCTATCACATCATAATTTTTCACTAATAAACAAACTATCACATAGTAGTGCTTATCCCTAAGACTACCCATGATCCGAGTGTTAGGGACTTCAGGCCTATCTCCTGCCTCAATGTGCTCTACAAAATCATAACCAAGATTCTGGCTAGAAGGATGGCTCCCTTGCTTCCAGATCTTATTGACAAGGCTCAAGGGGCCTTTGTTGAAGGAAGATCCCTTATTGACAATGTTTTACTTGCCCAGCATCTCATTAGAGACTATGCCATGAAGAGGTCACCCCTAGTTGTATGATCAAGTTGGACATCTCCAAAGCTTATGATACTGTATCTTGAAACTTACTACAGGCAGTTATGCTTGGACTTGGCTTTCCTCTCAAATTTGTTGGCCTCATCATGGAATGCATCACCTCAGCTTCATCCTCTATCTCTGTTAATGGGAACACACATGGGTTCTTTAAGAGCAGGCGTGGCCTTCGGCAGGGTGACCCTATGGCTCCCACTCTGTTCATTTTCTGCATTGAGTACCTGTCCAGGTTGCTCAACACCAAAACCAAGGAGGGATCCTTTCATTTCCATAAGAATTGCTCAGAGTTGGGTATATCCCATTTGGCTTTTGCAGATGACATTTTATTTGCTAGAGGTGATTTCTCTTCTGTTAAGGTTATGATGGATGCCCTAGATCATTTCTCCAAGGTGTCTGGACTATGCCTCAACCCAACCAAATCTAATATTTTTGTTGCTGGAAAGTATAGGGATGCTAGTCAGGATATCCTCCAATTGGCTAACTTCCCTAGAGGTGAACTTCCTGTCAGGTATCTCGGGCTGCCCTTATCCTCCCATCGTATTTCAGGATTTGATTATGCACCACTCTTCATGAAAATTGACATGTTCCTTGGGAAATGGAGTACCTTAAAAATTTCTTATGCTAGCAAACTGGAGCTGATTAGAGCAGTGATTCAGGGGGTGGAATCATTTTGGCTCCAAGCCTTCCCAGTTTAGAAGACTGTGCTTAACCATATTACTACTCTATGCAGAGACTTCCTGTGGGGCAGCAAGTTTGCTAAAGTGGCATGGGCTGACATTTGTAAACCCAGAAATGAAGGGGGTCTGGGCTTGAGGGATGCTGAAACCTGGAATAATGCTCTTGTGTGTAAAGCCTTATGGAAAATTGCTGCGAAAAAGGATTCACTTTGGGTGATTTGGGTTCACACTGTTTATCTGCGCAATGAATGTGTGTGGGTATGGCAGCCCAGGAAGAGACACTCTGTCTTCTTTAAAAGGCTTGCCTATGTGGAGAGCTTTTGGTACAAAAGCTTGGTGACCATAACTCCTCCTTGGAAGTGGCTATGCAACAGTTTTGTATTGGCGATAATCTCTGTTCGAGTAAGGTTTATGATTTTCTTAGGGACAAGTCCAATCCCAAGCCTTGGATGGCTTTCATATGGCATTCTCTAATTCCTCTTAAGTGCTCCTTTACGATGTGGCTGGCGCTTAGGGGGAGACTTCCTACCAAGACCAATTTGGAATTCCTTGGTCTTCCTATGGAGTGTGAGCTTTGTGGAGATGGAGTCGAGGACATTAGCCACCTCTTCTTTGGATGCTGTGTGTCAAAGCAAATCTGGGGAGCCATTAGGCATTGGCTACGGATTGATGCCCAACTGACAACCTTGGACAGAGCCATCAGGTGGTTGAGGACGGCTAGACGAGGAGATCCTATCCTGAAGAAGGCACGGAGGATAGGGTTGGCATGCACCATATTCCTCATCTGGAAACAGCGTAATGCCTTCCATTTTGAGCGCAAGCCTCTTAATATTGATGGTGTGATTTGTAATATCAAAACTATGGTTTATTGTGTTTTAGGCCGTGTGTGGCCAAATGTTCATCTTACTTTTTAGTTTGGGTTAGCCTGCGTGCCTTGGTTTTGGGGTTGGTTTTCCCCTTTTATGTATGAGGGTGTCCCGTTGAGGTGCTTGATGTAGTGGAAGGGTTGCTCCCATTCCTAGCTCGGGTATGCCCGTTCTATTTGTATATTCCTATTCTCTTTCTATTTACATTTTCCACAAAAAAAACAAACTATCACATCTTACTTTTACCCATCACAATAGGGGCAAAATTGGAAAGTCAACCAAAATTACATTTTCCTTAATTTGGCTAAAAGTCAAAACAAGAACCTTTTAAGGGAACGGAGGGAGTACATGTAAAAATCAAATCTTTAATATATGGTGCATTAAGTTTATGAAATATTTGCACTAAATAGCACTAAAACATACTCCCTCCGTTCCACAAAACCCTTCCTCTTTCGTTTTTTTAATTCCCTAAAACACTTCCACTTTTATTAAAAAATCACTTTTACCCTTATTTTTTCATACCTTACCACCTATCACATGACATTATGTTTTAGTGCTATTTCCGTAAATTCCTCTAAGTTTATTTCACTTTCATATACTCCCTCCATCCTACAAAATATTTCTTCTTTTAGATTTTAAGAGATTTAAGAGCAGTGTATTTTGGTGTTAACTTTCCAAAAATACCTTTGGATGTGATATGTAAAAGTAGATTCGATGAATAGATTAGTAGTAAAAAATTATGATATGATAGGTAAGTTAAGAATTATTAAGAGTAAAAAAGATTTTTTAATATAAATGAGGAATGTTTTTTGGGATGGATGAAAAAGGAATGGAGAAAGATTTTGTGGGACGGAGAGAGTAATTCAAAAGATAATAATAAAACACAACTTTTTAATGATTTTTGCTTTTCATTTTCTCATTTCATTTATATCTTTTTTTAATTTTTTTAATTTTTTTTAAATTTTTTTTAATTTTTTAAAAACTTTATTTACATATATTATTGAATATCTTTCAAGAAAAACGATAAAAAAATTAATTTTCCTAATAGCCAAGTCCAAAATTTACTCTCTTTATTGAGCTTTTCAGATTTTGGCTTTTCACATCAAATATCCAAGTGAAAAAGTCATTAGCCAAACAAAGTTATCTCAATTTCCTAAACCTCTTTTCTTATTTTTCTCTTGCTCCCCAAGTAACCCGAAACCCTAGGGTTTCTTCCCCCACCGTTGCCAAGCCGGAGGTTGTTCAACCGGCCTGCCTCCACCGTCTCTCACGGTTGTTTGTGTTAGTTCCATGGTGTTGGCTAATTATTTGGCAAAATAGAATCCTATAGTCGTTAGGTGTTTTACTAGGTAAAAACTTTTATTTGTTAGGGGAGGTTTATTTTATTTAGACTTCTGAAGTTATAGTTTTCAAGGTTGACACAAAAGATGCTACAACACGATGTTGCAACACACTATTCCGGATCAGAAGTCTGAGCACAGGATTTTAAGCTACAATCTGAATCAGAGACCTATTGGGATTGTGATTACATGATAATAACTCTAGCTGTACGTGTTAAGCACTCCCAACTCTTTAGACTACTTGTGGATCAAGATTAAGGAAGTTGAATTCAAGCCAACTTCTACTAACCTATTCCTACTAGGATTGTGTCAAGAGAAGCCTATAAAAACACAGCAGATCCCTGAGAATTTCTTAGAGCGATCGAGAGGGAAAACAAAGAATATACGCTGATGTAGAGCATTCACGTCGTGTCCCGGAGCGTTCCATGCGTGAAGAAGGTTACGATCTACATGAAGGAGGAGATCTTCAACGCCGAACAGATCGTGATGTCCAAGAGATGAACTAGAGCTCATCGAGTGGGCTGCCAACACGTTTGTCCTCGTGATCTCGGTGGCGATGTGATAGCCGAAGCGGATCTGTACAGGGTATGGGTTAGAAATCCTAGATTAGAAGTTTTATAATAACAATTCAGATAAGTGTGTCTCATCATGTTGTTATGTACCAGTGTAACTTGCATCTAGTGATTTAGTGGGGGGATATTACACAGATGTGGGCCCTGCATGTATGTAACACCCCAACCCGCATAACTCGAATAAATAGATTAGCGAACCGGGTTGCCACTAGATTGGTACACACATACAATATTTTTCAACAAAGTTAAAACATTTAATTTAAAACTCAAACAACTTAAAATAATTTAAATACATATCGGAGTTTATACAAACAGTGCGGAAGCCTTGTCATTTAACCAAAACATAAAGTTTACTTAATTCCTACATCCGTGCATCTCCTCCGTCATGCTGCTCTCCGGGATGGATTCCAGAATCAATCAACCAAAACCACCTACGTGTAACAAAGGGGAAAAAGGCGCTACACGCTCAGCAATGAAGCTGAGTGAGAAATATCTAACAGTTCGAACATACGCATAGGCGAATCCACTAATTCATAATTATCACATGATATCATGCACACAACATGCTTGGCAACAATCATACGGAATACAAGGTATAACATGCATAGTCAACGTCACAATAGTTCATAAGATACAAACAACAAGGATATAAGTATTAGGAACTTTCCTATTTAGTTTACTTTACTTTCTTTATCGTACTTGGCTCTTAACCTATGCTAGGTTAAAGCTTAACTGTATTTGACTTGCCTATGGAGTCATGACCTTCCCCTTCGGAACGAAGGCCAAGCTCAAACCAACTCGGGAGTTCCTCGTTGGGTGGGTGAGATCCCTGTCCCCTTCGGAACGACAGTTCTTAGATCCCCGTGTATACGTTTTTAATATCTATATTTGTACATAGATATATTTAATAAAAAATTGATATTTGAAAACTACGTTTCCTTATGAATATATTGATATTAAATTTACATCATAATACAATGTGTTTTTTCCCCAAATTGTAGTCAAAGTTTATAAACTTTGACCAAGAAAAGTCAAATGTGAAGAACATTTCCGGACGGAGGGAGTACTATTTTTCCAAAATGCTACTTTCTAATAGGGTGTTTTTTCAAATGGGTTCATTTTGGAAATAAAAATACATTTATTGTGGTAAAATATTTTAAATTTTATAGGATGAGAATATAATACTAAAAATTATAACTATAATTTTATAAATTTGAAACTAAACGCTTTAGATTATTTACAATTATTTAGAAGAATTTCATGTAAATAATATGTATAATAAACGTTAAAGAAATTATCTAAATAAGAATAAAACATAGAAAAAGATCTCCAATTATAATATGATTGATTTTTTAATTTTGAGCTTAACAGCCTCGCCCCACCCCACCCCACCGCGACGCGCGTGTCGTGTCGTGCCGGGACGGACAGAGGCGGCGGCGGCGCGCGAGAAGTCCTTTCTTTTCTTTTCATAAGCTCAATTAAATGCTTAAGTTTAAATATGGGAATACGAAAGGTTCAAGATCCGATGTGGGACCAGGGTTTTTTTACTCTTTCCACGTGTTCGACTTTGTGAATTAATTTCTCATTCACCCAAGCACCATTTTTGGCGTGTAATGTATGTCAAAACACTTATCTCACTTACGAGATTAAACGTGCATAATTATTTTAGAAAATAATTTTGTGGACCCTACCGAATTTAAGTCTGAAAAATGTCCAATTTAACTAAAAATTCCAACACAAGTTTCCATTACAACTTTCAACCTATTTTCAACATAGAGCACATTCTTTAGGAAATGGAAAAAAGATATGGATGTTGGAAGAAACTAAAAAAACTGGAAAAAACTGGAAGAACTGGAAGAAACTAGAAAAAATTACGGAGTAGAAAAATAGGAAAATCTAAAAAAAACTTTAAATTTTTTTTTTGTGTATTTTTATATTATTCTCATTCTAATTCTGGTTGTTATAATATAAATTATTAATGTTATTATTATTATTATTATTATTATTGTTGTTGTTGTTGTTGTTGTTGTTGTTGTTGGAATTGTTATCACGTTATCTTAATAAATGCTTTTAAGATAAAAAAATTGTTATTTTTCATACAAAAAAACTGCTTTTGCAAAAAATTTTAATTAGAATATAAAATTAGCATAAATATCAAAATATTAAGTATTTAAAAGTTATTGTGGCTACGCTACACGTCATAAAATTCATAAAATTAACATAAAATCAAAATGCTAATTAAAAAATTTATTAGAATAATAATAATAATAATAAATGATGGTGTAAATATAACCAGGTAGGTTGACCGGGTCTGACCTTGACCTTGACACAAACTCTACTCGTAGTAAATTCACACAATCAGAACACAAAGTATAACCTAGACCGGGTAAAACTCCTCAGTCTGAATTATATTTCTTACTCTGTCTCAAAAGTTTAGTTTTAGTGAGATAAAGATTAGATCCCCTCATCTATCCATAATTAACATATTTATAGAGGAGGAAACGTGACCTTCCCATGTTCATCCATGGACAAAATAGGAAGCTCGTGGGAAGGTCACTGTACATAATGGAATTACTATTCAATCATGGACTCTTCATGAATACAACCAAAACACACTATTCAACTAATGACTTTAAGAAAATATCTCCATCCAATCAATCATGACAAATATTCCTTCCACTGTTTGCCTCGTGAAGGATGAACGGCGGGGTGGTCCCCTGATCTTTGTTGTGGATTGCCATGCTTAGGAGATTGGACAAATGTTGGCCAAGTAGAATGATATGACCGGTCGCCTTTCCTCAAAGGTTACCCGGTCATTCCCTGAGCTATGGACTACCTTTTGGTCTTTCGCAGCATCCTTCACAACATTAAGTGACATTTTGGCTATCGCCCAAAATGTGACCGGTCACTTTTTAAGGTAAGTGACCGGTCAACTTTCGACCCATCTTTTCCGAAGAGTGTGTCTCATTTTAGAATTGACTCATTTTGACCGGTCAACTTTTTGACCTGTCACTTTCGGAAATTCGGGTCGGGTATAAGGATATACCCATTAATAATAATAATAATAATACATCTTTTTTTAGAGTAATTGATCGAGAAGTGGGAAGAGTTTAAAGAAAATAAAAATAGTAGGCAGAAACTGGAAAAAACTAGAAGAAACTGGAAAGAACTAGAAGAACTGTAAGAAACTAGAAAAAACTAGAAAGAACGATAAAAAACTCGATGGAACTGAAAAAAATTAGAATAAACTAAAAGTTAAGAGTTCAAACCCTAAAGAACAGACTCTTAATGGTTATGGTCATTCACACCATCGATCGAGTCTAGAGGATGAGTTGAATAAAATACTCCCAATGCGATGCAAGGTAATAATATTATAAAATATAATTATGACATAATTTATAGATAGCTAAGTAAAGCTGGTTTCTGTTAAATATGGCAGATATATTTCTAATTCTATTCAGAATATCTTGTTTCCTTATTGACCTAGACTATACCTCGTCTCGTGTATGTATAAATACCCCCGTATGTGATGAATGAATTACTGAGTTTACAACACGTTATCAGCACGAGAGACTCAAACCCTAATTTTTTAGCCTCTCCTGTTTTCCGCCGTTCTCCGTGGTGCATCGCAGAAAAAAACTCAGTCTCTGAGTACAATTATGCACTTTTCAACATCACCTCCGTCCTGAAGTTATGCGGAGAACCAATAACTGATAAAGAGATGCTTGAAAAGACTTTTTCTACGTTCCATACATCTAATATTAATCTGTCGGAGCAATACAGAGAACGTAAATTCACTAAGTACTATGATTTGATATCATGTCTGTTGGTAGCAGAACAAAACAAAGAGCTACTCGTGAGAAATAATCAAGCACGACCAATTGGTGCGAGCCCATTCCCTGAAGTGAATGTGGCAACTACTCAGAGTGGACGAGGGAGAGGAAGAGGCCACGGCCCCAGCAGAGGTCGTGGTCGTGGACGAAGCAATACATGGCATCGAGATTCTTATAATCCTAAGCATGGTGATGGACAATAAATCCACCAAATGATCCGATTCACAGAGCGGATCGTAAGTACAAAATTAAGAACGAGAATTCGAGAATTGGGTATGTCTTATTAGCTTGATTTTTCTTCCCTTCCCCCCTTTTGGGTCTCATCTATTTATACGTGAGCTATATGCAATTAAGGTAACGCATAATCGATGGAGTCTATCCCGTTAAGGGCGCGATCCCCTTTTTCCGGCTCTGTAACGGCCAATCTGCTCCGTCTCCTTCTCCAGCTACTTTTGGTCTAAAGTCAACCGGGCCCGGCTCCATGGGCCGGCCCAGACCTGAGTATCTTCCGAGTGTCTGACCCGAAGTTGTGTAAATGGTTCATTTGGGCCGCCCACTGGATATCGGCCCATCATAAGCCCCCCAACTCCTCATTCTTCAACTGGGCCAAGTGGAAGAATGGGGAGTTTGCAAAGTCCACGTGGGCGCTCCAGCGGGGATCCGGGCCGTTTCTTGGGTTCCGTGTGACGTCTGGGCACGATCTCCACAAATAGGTAATCATGGCCTGCCGGTTCGCCTTCCTATTGTCAGTTAAAAACCGCCGCAAGACGCCATTTCTTCCTTCCGCTTTCTTCACCATCATTCGTCTGTAATTCCGCTGCTACCCGACCCGTTCTTCTTCCTTTCCAGGTCAGTTCCTTTTCTCGTCACCGTCGGCCGTGTCTGGCCATAAACGGCGTCGATTGAGGAAGCAATTCCCTTCCTCAACCCCGGTAGACGAGGGCTCGAGGGTTGGATTGGACAAAAATATCATGGCGCTGTGCCATTGCCAGATTACTGACCGGGGGTTCGCCGATGCTACTGACATGGTCGGACCTTCCATTGAAGTCATGAAACCTACCAGCACCCAAACCGCCCTGGACGCCCCTTCTGGGTTCTTTACGGTCCATCTGGCGTCTTTGAAGAAGGGGCTGCGCTTCCCACTCCACCCGCTTTTGATCGAATTCCTCAATGTGGTGGACCTTCTTCCGTGTCAGTTGGTCCCCAACTCTCACCGGTACATCTCCGGTTATTTGGTCCGGTGCAAGGCTGTAGGGGTGAAACCGACTTTGGACCATTTCCTATTCACCTTTAAGCTGACCAAGGGCCATAAGGATTGGGCGTCCTATGCCAGCCTTTCCCAGAGGTCCAGTAAGCTCTTTGTTAGCGACAAGAAGGGGTCGACCAAAGACTGGAAACCCTACTTCGTCTTTGTCTCGACGGGGCCCGAATCTCCTTTCACAGGTTCAGGGCGCCCTTCCTTCCGCCGCATCCCATGCCCCCCATCTGATGCCACCCTTTTGTCAATTACTCGCCAACTTTGCAACAAGGGAGTTATGAACATCAAAGAGGTGGTGACAGAGGAAACCCTTGCCGGGTTGGGGTTTGAGTTTGTTCAGGATGAGCTTCGCCACCAACCTGACCTACTGAGGGACATTCCTGGGGGGCATCAGCCCGTCCAGCTGAAGGACATTCCTGAGGAAGGTCTTGACTGTGGTCCAATTGGTAATTGACCTTTCCATGTTTGCCCAGATGTTTAGTTTATTATTTTTTTAAGGATAACCCTTTCCTTTGTTTCCAGTGGAATTACAAGATTCAAGAGAAGAGATGGACGGCGATCTCCTGCTCAGTCGCTTCACTGCAGGGAGGAAGAGGAAGAGAGAGACGAAAGGCCAGGGCAAACGCTCTTCGTCCCACCAAGGGGAGGGTCCCTCCCAAGAGCCGGCTGTAATTGTAGTGGAGGACCAGGATGATGCTACCCTGGAAACGGGTACAGTGACTGGTCATTCCCCCCCCCCCCCCACTTTGTGAAGCCGGGTGGCGACCTCGCTGGGTCGTCACTAGGCATTGCCTCGGAGCGACCTCCTTCGCCTCCCGCAGTGACCTACGAGGTGGCGACCGGGGGTCGCTCGACGAGGCTTTGCATTCCTCCTCTGCCCCAAAGCCTAGGGGACGTGCAACTGGAAACCCTGATCACTTTGCCCGCGAAGGATCAAGCTCGCATCTCGGCCGGTTCTAAGGACGACCTTGATAACATGGTCCTTTTGAGGCTAAGCCAGGTACTTGCACTGATTCCATCTACACTCCTTTCCCCTTTTTTTTGTACATTCTTAACCCCCCTGCCTTGGCGTAGGCCACGCTGGGGATGATTGAGGTGGTTGGCAGGAGACGGGGTCGCCAGGCCGCCGCAGACGAGGCGATGAAAGCAGCCGAGGCCAAGCAGAAGGAGCTGCAGGAAGAGGTCGCCCGACTCAAAAGGGAGTTGGAGGAGAAAGAGAATCGCTGCGCGACGCTTGCTGTGGAGAAAACTTCCCAGGAGAACCGTTGTGCCGCCCTTGAAGCAGACAAGGCCTCCTTGTCCTTGGAGATAGAATCTGTTTCTGCCCGCGTGCTCGAGCTGGAGGGGGAGAAAACTGATCTGATCCAGCAGTTGGAAGTGGAGAGGAGCGACCGGGTCCGTCATGCTGAGGAAACGGTAGAATCCTTCAAGTCATCTCCCGACTTCACGGTGGTCGCGATGGAGCGGATGGAAGAGCTAACGGCTGCTTGGCTCGAAACTGAACCTGGGGCTCAATGGATGGTCAAGGAGGGCACCAAGTCCTTTAATTGTGGACTCTTCCGCGCCCAGCAGATCTTCCATGACAGACTGGCTCAGCTCCCCAAAGGATTCTCTCTCCCCGACCTCGGCTTTCCCCCTCCTTGCCGCTCCTTGGCCGAGTTCGACCCCCGCCCTTATTTGGACGAAGGGAGCTCAAGCGCGTCTGAAGAGGAGGAAGAAGGAGGAGAAGAAGACGGCCCAGGCGATCAAAATCCGGGGGCTAGCTTAGCCACATCCAAGGCGGGTGACAACCCTAGCTCGAGCGTCTAACCTTTCTTGCCGTCCTCTTTCGGCTTTGTTGGACACTTGTAATTTTTATTTGAAACAGCGTGTTGTTTTGATACAATGTTCCCATGTTATTTGACTTGCCGGATTTACCATGTGCTTTTCTTTTCCAGCGTCTTACTTCGGCATTTTATTCTTTAGTGTAGCTGATTTACACATATGTTTTTAGTTTGGGCCCCAACTCCTAGTCCCGGCCCGTCTACCTGTCCAGGCCCAATCTCTGGATTGGCCAGCGTGCCGCCCAACTGACCCAATGCCCTTCACAGTCTCTGATTGGACCTTCGCGCGGCTCAAAGCTGCTTTATCGGTTCAGCTGCCATGAGACTTGACCGTCTCTTCGGTTCCTTCGCCGGGCTTATTTATAAGCCCCCTAACCTTCATTTTGCTCCCTCACCGAATACTTTCCCTTTCTTCATCACTGCCATGTCTGAAGGAATTCCTGTATCTTTGAATCTTTCTGACGGGCCAGCTCCTTCTTCGCCGGAGCCTGCCTCCTCCCCCAAATCAGTCAATTCCAATGACTGGGGAGGGCTGGACCCTTACGAATTCTGCCGCCGATTGCCTCGCCGGCAGTGGCCATCGGTGAAACCGCTGCCACTACCACCAAACCCTTATGATGACTCCAGTGAAGCATACAAGGCCCTCTCCGCCAACCGCCTACCTGACGGAAGGATCGACTGGGACGCTCCATGCCCCCTCCATTCCCTGCAATGCATGGCCTGGGAGAGCTTTCAGGATGAACACTTACCCCTCCTGGAGCATGAGTGCGCGTACTACGCCAGTCTTGAACAATGGACTAGCGAAAGTCGCACCAACTCGCCGGTGAGGCCTAAGGAGGAGGTTGTGTTGGGGGAAGAACTGGGTTCCAGCCCACCTCGCCCCACCGACCGCTCAACTCCCCGGAAAACCCGTAGGCGACCTGGAGTAGCTCGGTTGGCTTCAGGATCTCCATCCTCATCTAGGTGATGCTGGTTGGGGTTCTGAAAGAAGTGAACCACCCTCCGTCCTTCCTTGGTATTTGAAGGACGATGGGTTTTTGCCAAGGCTGGGGGGCGACCGATCCTGTTCCGCGTGATCGGAGTTCCGCCGGCCTATGCAGCTGCAGAACTACCCTTCAAACCTGCCTGTCCCCCCTAGGCCTTTTGCTCGCAAAGTTTTAGATTGTTCTTTTTTACTGTAGGAAAAGTATGGAAAAGTATCCCTCCTTTTGAAGATATAGAGACTGTTTTCAATTGTATTGTGGTGGATGCAAGAGATTATCCTTGAAATGTAATGAACATTTTCATGAATGTATTTTGATGTCACCTGTTTACTTACAAGTTCTATCTTCTTCTCTTCCGCATCTCATTTTAAGCGTTCAGGTTCCCTCAGACCCTGATCAGAGAATACCCCGCCTATTTTGACTTAGCCACTTCCGGGTTACTTTACCCTTATGGCGTCGCCATTGACCCCTGGTCGCTCCTGCGATCGGTAGATCTTTTGTTCCAGACTTAGCCGTTTTCTCGGGCTTTCTTGCCACGGCGTCGTCCTCTGATTAGTCGCGTCGCCTAACAGCCCTCCACCTCGGTCGCTTGTCAGGGTTCGGCGCTTCACCCAACACTGGGTATCTTAGCACGAATCACCATGACGTTTAGGCTTAGCGATCCCTTGTGGTCACTTCCCCCCTTTTTTTTCGAGAATTGAAGACAATATGTGCCAGAAAACTGGTTTTATTAAACTTCACGAAAGAGACATTGTTGGAGTACAATCTATTGATAAAATTTGATAAGGTTGGCGGCATTCCATACCCGCGGAACGTCGCCACCGGCTGGAGTCTGCAATCTAAATGTCCCATCAGCCAACACCTCCTTTATGATATATGGCCCTTCGAAGCTTTTAGCAAACTTCCCTCCATCGGTCGGCCGACTGACTTCCCTTTTCCGAAGGACCCAGTCGCCCATCTTGAACTTCCTTGGTCGCACCCGCTGGTCATGATATGACTTGACCTGTCGGCGGTAATTTTCTGCTCGCATGTATGCCCTTTCCCTTCGCTCATCAATGAGGTGCAGCTCTGCCCTCAAGTTCTCTTCATTTTCTTGAGCATCAAACGTCTCTACTCTATAACTTAACAACGAGGTCTCCGCTGGAGCCCTTGCTTCAAATCCATATGTGAGCGAGAAAGGGGTTTCACCTGTGGCCTTCCTTGGGGTGGTTCTGTAGGTCCACAAAATGTAGGGCAATTCCTCCACCCAGGCACTTTTGCATTCCATTATTTTCTTCTTGAGACCGTCCACGATGGTGCGATTGGTGTTCTCGACCTGTCCATTGGTTTGAGGGTACCCGACCGCTGCATAGCTGTGTTTTATGCTCCAGCTCTGTAGAAACTCATTGAACCCTCCGGCCTCGAATTGGGTTCCGTTGTCAGTGATGATCTGCTGAGGCACCCCAAATCGGCACAAGATTTGCTTGGAAACGAACTTCGTCATCTGCTCTGCAGTGATGGTTGGCACGGGGGCGGCCTCGACCCACTTGGTGAAGTAGTCGATCGCGACCACCAGGTATGTGTTGTTCCCTGTCCCTCGAGGCAAAATGCCCACCAGATCGATGCCCCACCGGGCAAAGGGAATTGCCGTACTGATCGGGGTATAATTTGTCGCCGGTCGCCCCGGTACCCTCTGGAATTCCTGGCAAACCTTGCATTTGCGCACGTACTCTGCGCAATCTCTGATAATTGTTGGCCAAAAGTATCCTTGTAGGGTTATCTTCCTGGACATTGTGAAGGCTCCCTGATGCGCTGAGCATATTCCCTCATGGATTTCCTCCATTAACTTTTGAGCCTCGCCCGCTCTTAAGCACCTCAACAATGTACCATTATACGATCGCTTGTACAGACGACCGCACTCCAGCGTGTAGCTGGGTGCACGTCGCTTCACCACCTTTGCCGCAATTGGGTCGGCAGGTAGCGACCCGTCAAGGATGTACATGGTAATCTCATCAATCCAATCCGGCTCCTCTTTGAGTGTGATGATCAGCACTTGTCCGGGACTGATGCTTGACTCGAGCAACTCTTCTTATTGGGTCATTGCCTTAATATGATCCGGGGAATCCGGACCAAGCTTCGACAAGATATCTGCCTCAGCGTTCTCTTCCCGAGGGACCTGCTCTATCCGGTACGCCCCAAATGCTTTAAGCAACTCCAGGGCAGTGTCTCTATACTTCTTCATTCGTTCATCCTTGGCCTCGAACTCTCCAGTGACGTGGCCTACCACTAGCTTGGAATCACACCGGACTTGGATCCGCTCGGCTTTTAATGAGGCTGCCAACCTCAAGCCGCAAAGTAGTGCCTCGTATTCAGGCTAATTGTTCGAGACTTTAAACCGGAACCTCACAGAGTAGTACGCTTTGAATCCTTCTGGCGATATCGCCACGACACCTCCCCCCGAAGCATCAGTCGCGGACGACCCATCGGTGTACACGGTCCACCAGTTCCCTTCGGGTTCTTCACCACTAGACTCTACCTCTCTCGCAGTGCATTCTACCACGAAATCTGCTAACGCCTGCCCCTTTATCGCCGGTCGTGGCTTAAACTCTATCTGAAAAGATCCCAAGAACACTCCCCACTTGCTGACCCGTGATGGGGCATTCGGACTTCGAAGAAGTGTTCCGATAGGAATTTGTGATAATACATGGAACGGGTGGGCTTGAAAATATGGGGTGAGCTTCTTCACCGTACATACCACCGCAAAGATGGTTTTCTCCATGTTTGTGTACCTTTGCTCCGCCCCTCGCAACACCCGGGCCACATAGTACACAGGTCGCTGTACGCCCTCCTCCTCCCTCACAAGCACCGAGCTCACAGCTCGAGGAGAGATTCCCAAGTACAGAAATAGGGTCTCTCCGGGCTCTGGCTTCGAAAGTACCAGTGGGGAGAGGAGGTATGCTTTCAACCCTTCAAAGGACCGTTGACATTCTTCGGTCCAGACAAACCCTCTGCTCTTCTTAATTGTCTGAAAGAAAGGAGCCGCTCGATCAGCTATCTTTGACAAGAAGCGACTGAGAGCAGCAATCTTGCCGGTCAATTGCTGGACCTCCTTTACATTCCTCGGAGGTTCCATTTCTAAGATTGCTTTCACTTTCTCTGGATTAGGCTCAATTCCTCTCCGGCTGACCATGTGTCCTAAGAACTTGCCCCCCTGAACCCCAAATGTACACTTCTTAGGGTTAAGGCGAAGCTGGAACTTCTTCATGATCTTGAACACTCTCTCCAGGTCGCCGGCATGGGACTCAACCCGTTTGGACTTGACGATCATGTCGTCCACATATGCTTCCATGCATCCCCCCAGCACTGGCGCGAACAACTTGTTCACCATCCGTGCATAGGTCGCCCCAGCATTTTTCAAGCCAAAAGGCATCACCTTGTAACAATATACCCCATTGGGGGTGATGAAAGCGGTCTTCTCTTCATCCGCCACAGCCTTCTTGATCTGGTGGTACCCACTGAATGCGTCCATGAAACTCATCAGCTCACACCCAGCCGTCTCATCAACCAACTGATCAATGTTGGGGAGAGGGAAAGGATCCATCGGGCAAGCTTTATTCAGATCAGTGTAATCGACGCACATCCGCCAGGTACTCCCTTTGGGTGCGAGGACTACATTGGCCAACCATTCCGGGTATCGAACCTCCCGGATGTGCCCGATGGATTCTAGGGTCGTCACTTGCTTGGTGATGAACTCCCTCCGTTCGAAGGAAAGGAAACGCTTCTTTTGTTTGACCGGCCTGTGGGTCGGATCCACTGCCAATCTATGGCAGATGATTTTTGGGTCGACCCCTGGCATATCCTCTGGTCCCCGAGCGAATAGAACTTTGAATGCTCGGAGGACCTCTAATAATTGCTCCTTTAATTCAAGCGGTAAGGTTCTACCTACCTTCACCTTCCGCTGTGGTTCGGCCGGGTCCAAGGAAACTTCTTCGACCTCCTCCACCGGCTCAGCTCGTGGTCGCCCCTCCTCCTTCTGGATTGCGGCGCAGATCGTACTCACATTCTCGTCGACCCGGGCTTGGCTCTTGGTCGCCTTGACGTAACACGAACGTGACAGGCTTTGGTTTCCCCTTGCTATCCCCACTCCCGTAGGAGTATTGAACTTTAAGCATAGGTGGACGGGGGAGATTACGCACTCCAGATCCTCCAACCCTGGTCGCCCCAGGATCAAATGGTGTGCACAGTCGAGCTGCACTACCATAAATTCCATGTCGACCCAGAGTCGGTGGGTGCCATCTCCTACCCCGGCCTTCACCGTGATAGTGCCTTCAGCTTCGATCGTATCCCCTGTAAACCCCGATAGCGGCGTATGGATTGGTTTCAGGGCACCTCGGGACAACCCCAACTCCTTAAAGGTGTTGCTGTACATTACGTTGACCGAGCTGCCCGTATCGACCAAAGTGCGGTGGACGACCACATTATTGATCTCTACCTTTATCACCAGAGCGTCCCTGTGGGGGCTGAGGACTGGGGGATAATCCTCATCTGTGAAGATTAGAGGTTCCTTCTTCTTCCGATTAGGCAGCGGCGGCCTTTGCACCTCAGCCAGGTACACCATGTTCTTCCACCTCTTCCGGGAGGATACCGAATCTCCTCCCGTGTTTCCTCCCATAATGAACCGACACCCCAGGTGTCGGCGACCTTGCCTTTCCTCTTCATCTAGATCGTCACAATCTCGTCCTAGGTGCCGCCGTCCATCTTCTTGCCCCTCTCCTGCTGTGATCGCTGCTGTGGGGGCTGGAGGCCTCCTCCAGGTCCGGTTACCTGAGGATGGTCGTTCCGTCCGAGGAGGCGGCCCTCTAGCAATCAGCTGATCCATCTCCTTCTTCAACGTGACGCACTCCGACGTATTGTGGGTGCTGTTACGGTGGTACTCACAGTATTTGGGTGCATCCTGCACACCATAGCTTTCCCGACTGTGAGGAGGAGCAGGCAACGATTTTACCGCATGAACAGGATGCCTGTTCACATGATACCCGGTGGGGTTTGGCCCCTTACCATAGTCCTTCCTCTTCTTCCCTTCTGCCACCGGTGGCCCACTTTTCTTCTCCTTCCGGACTGGTGGCTCATCATCTTCTTCTTCCAATGCCAAGTACTTCGCCCGGGCCAACATCTCTTGATAGGTTGAGAGAGGATTCCGCCGCAGCTCTTTGCGCACATCCCCTTGGGGGAGTGCAGCTTGGAGCATGGCGATCAGGGCCTGGTCGTCCGCCCCTTAGACGTCCCTAGCCTCCTTCTCCCACCTATTAATGAATTCCCGGAGCTGTTCCCCCTTCCGGATCTTCACATTGAGCAGATGCGAGAAGGGGAGCTTCTGTCTCCGGCTGGATGCGAAGTGCTCCAAGAACTTGTGGGCCAGGTCGCTCCACTTATCTATCGACCCCTTGGGTAACTTGTGGAACCATTCACAAGCCTACCCTTCCAATGTGGCCAGGAAACATCGACATTTGATTTCTTCTGGGTACGCATACATGACCACGTTTGCCCCGAAGCGAGCGAGGTGGTCTTGGGGATCGGTCGTCCCGTTGTACGCCTTGATCTGGGGGGTCTTGAAATTATCTGGGAGAGGGCAGGACATTACCCTTCTGGAGAAGGGCGTTACCTCACTGAAGACCGCCTGGCGATAGGGGTTTTGGGCGTCCAGCCGCTTCTCCAGCTGCTCGTACATTTTCCACAGCTCAGCTGCGCCCTTATCCCCGACGGTCGTCCGTCGCTCCTCAGAACCGACCTTGGAGGTCGTTGTGGACTCCCCTCTCTTCTCCTTGAGTGTGTCTCTCAGGTCGCCTTTTCGGGCCGACCGAGTGTCCTGCAGCCGTTCGAACGCAGAGGTCCGAGGCTTCTTTGACTTGGGGTCTCCCAAACGGTCAAAGGCAGACATCCGCTCGAAGGAGGACGAGTCATCCTCTTCTTCCAGTCTGGAAAGCGCATCAGCCATCACAGCCTTCCCATTAGGCTTGGTCGCCTTCTTCTTCTGGGACCGCCTTACGTTTTTCTTTTTTCCTTGGGAGCCTGTAGGTCCAGCCTTCCCGCCTGTGGGTCCCCCAGCCACATCTTCTACCACAACCTCGCGGTTGGGCGCAAGTGCGGCCAGCACCTCTTTGAATTGTTCGGCCGTGATTCCAACCCTCTGAATGAGGGCCTCAGCCTCCCCTGTGGTGATGGGAGGGTTCCGACCTCCAGTGGTGCTGTTCTCCCCCTGTTGGGGAACTCCGGTACCTACATTGGCGTTACGGCGCGTTTGCACCATCGTCTCTATGGAGGATTCCCTCTGAGTATGATTCTCGAGCTCTCAATGAAAGCACCAATTTGATGGACAATAAATCCACCAAATGATCCGATTCACAGAGCGGATCGTAAGAACAAAATTAAGAACGAGAATTCGAGAATTGGGTATGTCTTATTAGCTTGATTTTTCTTCCCTTCCCCCCTTTTGGGTCTCATCTATTTATACGTGAGCTATATGCAATTAAGGTAACGCATAATCGATGGAGTCTATCCCGTTAAGGGCGCGATCCCCTTTTTCCGGCTCTGTAACGGCCAATTTGCTCCGTCTCCTTCTCCAGCTACTTTTGGTCTAAAGTCAACCGGGCCCGGCTCCATGGGCCGGCCCAGACCTGAGTATCTTCCGAGTGTCTGACCCGAAGTTGTGTAAATGGTTCATTTGGGCCGCCCGCTGGATATCGGCCCATCACATGGAAAGGGTAAACTGAAGCAGAATGATGGGGGACGACCCCAGAAGGGTAAAGCTAAAGGAGGCCAAGAAAGTACCTGTTTCAAGTGTGGCATGACCAACCACTGGTCTCGAACATGTCGCACCCCTAAACATCTCGTGGAGGCATATCAACGAATGGTGAAAGAGAATGAAAAGGGAAAACACGTTGAGACAAATCTCGTTGACACCACCACTATGCTCACAAATACTCATCTAGATGCATCTGATTTCATTGAGGACCATTAAACCATTGAGGACCATTAAACCATACTGCGTAGTTTTTTTCCTTTCTTTCCCTATCTTTACGACTATGTTCTAGACAATGTGTTCATTCATTTGGATCTTTTGTTTTGAACTTGTTTGATGTTTTTCCTATGCTCTCTATTATGCCTATTATTCTTATTCAAAGCTTTATGAGGTGATTTATTAAATGAATGAATAATAATCATTATTTTATTTCTTGAAGAAATATGAACACAAGCTCCAGTAGAGCTCTTATTGGTGATGAATGTTTGGTAGATAGTGGTAGCACCAACACAATCCTAAAACATAAGGAATATTTCTCTGAATTATTTCCAATCAAAATACTTGTTGGTACTATCTCGGGTGCTAGTGACCTAATTGAAGGCTCCGGAAGAGCATGCATCATATTACCCTCGGGTACCAAATTAATCATAAATGATGCATTATACTCCAGTAAATCTAGAAGAAATTTACTTAGTTTCAAATATATAAGACAAAATGGTTACCACCTCAAAACCACATCCGAAAATAGTAGAGAATACCTACAAATTATTTCCAATGAGGACACTTTAGAAAAGCTAGAAGCTTTATCCTCTGGATTATATTGCACTACTATTAATCCTATTGAGTCATATATGGTAAGTAACCAGAAGTTACTAGATAGAGACACTTTTACCATATGGCATGACCGACTAGGTCACCCTGGCAGTACCATGATGAGACGCATAATAAAAAATGCGAATGGGCATCCGCTTAAAAATAATAAAATCTTACTGCCGCAAGATTTATCATGTGCAGCATGCTCTATGGGAAAATTTATAACACGGCCCTCCCAAATAAAATTGATACATGAAAATCCTTCCTTTTTGGAAAGAATCCAAGGGGACATCTGTGGGCCCATACATCCTTCATGTGGACCTTTCCGCTATTTTTTAGTGTTGATTGATGCTTCCTCACGATGGTCACATGTGAGTCTTCTAGCTACTAGAAATGTAGCGTTTGCGCGACTTTTAGCCCAAATCATACAATTAAGAGCGCATTTCCTAGAAAATCAAATTAAAAATATTCGCATGGATAATGCAGGAGAATTTACATCCCAAGCTTTTGATGATTATTGCATGTCAATTGGGATAAATGTTGAACATCCAGTAGCTCATGTTCATACACAAAATGGTCTAGCTGAATCATTAATTAAAAGATTACAGTTAATTGCTAGACCGCTTCTGATGAGAAGTAAATTGCCATCTTTGGCATGGGGGCACGCTATTTTACATGCTGCTGCACTGATCAAACTAAGACCAACTGCTAATCAAGAATACTCCCCACTTCAACTGGTCTCTGGAAGAGAACCAAATTTGTCCCATTTAAAAATATTTGGTTGCGCAGTTTACGTCCCAATACCGCCACCACATCGTACCAAAATGGGACCCCAGAGAAGACTGGGCATTTATATTGGTTTTAACTCTGCGTCTATCATTAAATATTTAGAACCATTGACAGGAGATATGTTTACAGCACGGTATGCTGACTGTCAATTAAATGAGACAGTATTCCGAGTCTTAGGGGGAGACAAGAATAAAGAAAGACTGGTAACACAAGAAGTAATATGGAATGCATCATCACTATCGATACTCGACCCCCGAAGTGGTCAATGTGATTCTGAAGTCCAAAAGATAATACATTTGCAGCGCATAGCAAATGAATTACCAGATGCATTCATAGATACAAATAGAGTGACAAAGTCACATATACCAGCATCTAATGCACCTGCTCGTATTGAAGTAATCCCAGAAGTGATTACCATACAAAGAAAGCGTGGGAGACCAATCGGTTCCAAAGATAAGAACCCACGAAAACGAAAGGAGCAAAATTGTGCAGTTGGTGAAACCACAGAGAAGATTATGAAAGATACCCCTGTAGAGGTTAATGTCCCAGAAGAGACTAATACATTTCCAGAGGAAAATGATATTCCGGAAGAAGGACCGGTACCAAATGAAAATGAGATCTCTATTAATTATGTACAAGACAGTACAATATGGAACCGACATGAAACACGTGTTGATGAAATTTTTGCATATGCTATAGCAATGGATGTACTCAATGAGAATGATTACGTACCTAAAACTCTAGAAGAGTGCATGCACAGAAATGATTGGCCAAAATGGAAAGAGGCCGTGAACGCTGAACTTGATTCACTTCACAAACGAAATGTTTTCGGACCTGTAGTCCGAACACCCATAGACGTCAAACCAGTGGGTTATAAATGGGTGTTTGCAATAAAAAGAAATGAAAAGAATGAGATTATGCGATATAAGGCACGACTTG